ATGTTGATTCCACAACTTAAGAGCACATGAACACACAATGAACGACTACACAACTCTGTAAATCGAACCATCCGAGGAGCACGTGAATGCACCATTAGCCCCTGGTTGCAATTCGCAACCCTCACCACTAGATGTCACTAAAACTTACACACTGAACCTTTAAGGATAATATGTGATTACAACGATATTCTGTCCTTTTCTTATTGTCAATATATTTCACCCGTGGAATTCACATGCTGTGCTCCAATACTACAAACTAATCCGTAGTTATAAATGAACAGTGGGTCAAACGACGACTGCATGTGTAGTAGGAAAGAGGCCGCTCGTAGTAAGAAATCCATCTAATTATTACTCAACTCTGCAGTTTCCCCTCAGCACTATGGAGCATCTTTCAGATCATCATTTTGGTCTTACAGCTCACAACTTTAAAGTTTTTGTTTAGTCTCATCCCTTCCATATCTGGCAGCAGCAGACAGCAGTTTTAAGTGATAAAAAACTCTGTACACTGTACACTACCTGCCCATCACCAAACTGCAGACAGATATACTTAGAGACTAGCTGGTGACGAAAGTGGAGCATTTAGTAGCTAACGGGCCAAGTAGGCTACATTTCTGGTTGGTGGAGACCAGACCAGAGCTAAAAGGAGAGTGAATATTGGACTTATAATCACCAGGGGTCTCATTTATAAACGGTGTGTACGTACAAAACAGGGCAGGAAACGTGCGTACGCCACTTCCCAAGCAAAGGTTGTGATCTATAAAAACAAACTTGACGGGAGAAAGTGCGGCCCTGTAAACTCTGAACCATGTGTACCAACATAAAGAGGAGAAAAGAGAAACGGCGACTCACAATGCAGAAGGATGAAACAGTTTGAAATGAAGAGGCTTACTATTGTGTAAATTATATATTACCTCTGAGTATTATAGGCTTAAAGCCGTTGAATAAACAAACACCCCTTTGATTGATTTCCCCTGAAGTGCGCAAAAAAAATATTGAAGATCATTTGCGGCGCACAAAAAGAACCATGACTGAGGATAATAAACACAAACAGAGATTCTGTTTCTGCAAAAGAACGCCTCAAATATGTTGTACAGTTTAATCAGGAATCATATTAATTAATACTTGCATGCATTGCAATTTATTCTCATAAATAAGGTGAACAGGACAAATTACATTTAAATTGATGCCATTTTCACTGCGTCAGTTGAGCAAATACAAGAGCAGAGTTTCATGTATTGTTATCACATGTTCGTTGCCTTATTGAGCCAAACGCTGTGCGCCAGCGTGTGGATGTGATGCGCTGCTTGTAAAAACATGTTATGGAAAATACAACACTATTTTATTGTCATTTACAAGTCAGATTTCTTTTAACTCATTGGATGCCTCGTTAAGTGAGTGGACTGTTTGTGTAGCCTGGAATGCATTTGGTTTACTCTCTTTTCAAACGGGGGAATCCAGATTAGTACCTGGATCATCCCCAGCCAGCGACGTCACTACTCAGGAGGGATGCCCCTTCCTGCAGATCAGTTATAAAGGGGTGGAGCTCCGGTGCCTCCTTTCCTCCGGTGCACAAGCGTTGCGTGAAAGTGCTTTTTTTACCCACCAAACAGATTCAGCTTCACCAAAAGGAACATCAGTGTCACACTGACTTAAATTTCGTTTTGTAGCCTTTCTGTCAGAATTTGCCTCCTTTTTTTCATGCAGTCAGGATGTATTAATATTAATGAGGCGTTTGACATGACGCTCCCTCACATGCGCCACATTTTAAGTTGATTGTGATTTATAAAGGGATCTTGCGAACGCACAGTTTTATAAGTCTGAATATTTTTTGTCATACTCCATTTTTGGCTTTTGGGCGCACATACACTTTTAATGAGGTTTCTACGCACGGTTTTATAAATGAGAACCCAGGTGGCCAAATGAATTCTGATATTATCCTGTTTCTGCTGAAAGTGTAAAAAGAAATATGTTTGCTAACAAGTTTTCTATGACAACTTTATATTCAGTATTGAGTTTTCAGCTTGTTGTAATAACCCCAAATGGCCAAAAAAGTGAAGTCACACAAGTTGCCTAGACACAGGTGGTTGCTTTCATTCTAATATTTCTTCATACTTGAGCGAGGCTAGCAGTTTCCCACTCCTTCCAGTCTTTGCACTAAGTTAGACTAAACATATCCTGGACCTTTCAGTACTGCACACATTGAAGCTGAATACCCGTCTTCTTATCTGACTCTGGGGAAGACGTTTATGTCAAATAAAACAAGTTAGATGTAATTGATCAGTGTTTGGTAGAGTCATAGGAAAATTCCCAACCTGTATAGAAGGTATAAAAATAAAACAGGCAGAAAACAAGGAACCGAATGATTTTGCAGATGCAGTATTCTCCCTCTCTGCTGTGTCGTTGTGTACTGTACACTCCTGTGATCAGCTGATGATTAACTGATTAAGTGATTCAGCTGTCGCATCCCCAGAGAGGGAACCATCAGACGACCTATTTCTCTCTCTCTTTTCTGTCTCTGTCTGGCTCTACCTCTGTCACTTGTCTCACTTCTGTTTCTTGTAAGAAATACAGTCTTGTCAAGAAAAAACTTTGAGCCTCAGCTTTTAAACCAGCGTGGATGAGCAGTCGTTAAAGCGCTCAAAACAAATGGAAACTGGGCAATCTCCATCAGCTGATGAAGATCATGTGACTAACCTATTAAATTGACCTTGCAGTGAGATTGTTTTTCTTACAAGAAAGACCAGTTTTACGAAAGGTAATATTTCATAAACCTATTCAGTTTAAACTGTGCATTACTTCATTTATGGTGGTGTAGCTATGAATAAGAAGCCATAAGCTCTGAAAGGTTTAATCAAACTCTCTAAGATAAGCTTCAGGTTTCTGGACAAACGCAAATAATCCTTTAAAAAGGTAGGATTCTTTGTGAATATTAGTGCTCTTATTTTGGGGAGTTTAGGTCCCTGTATGTCTGGTGCTGAATTTTTCAGAGTGTCTTAATGCCCTTCGCAGCACCATCAGTCTGCTCTGCCAACAATTCGCCATCCTGCTCTTCTCATTATCTCTCTGTTACCTCAGGCGTCAAACCACCGCTGTCCTGAGCCGTGCAAACTCTATATGCCAGCCTCCCACACACGCAACAACCTCTACACTGAAAAACAATACCACAGAGATACTCCAAAATAACCTCAAAACATCTCAACGAGTGCTTTGATTTCATAATGGATGTTAAATCTGATTTTTTTTACCTAAATATGCCTACTCAAATGAGAAATACTTAAATTTCCTCCTCCGCAGCCTCATATTCAGGCTTCAAATGATATCGTCTTTGAGAGAAAACCTCTGTGGTCCACTTCTATTTCGATGCAGCTACAGTACACTAAGCTTGATGTATATTTCACCTTCTTTTTTATCAAATTTATGATGTTTGTGCAGAAGAATGTTTATATGACTCTTCATTGTTTCACAAAAAAAATGGAATCTATATTTTAATTAGAATGAAATGAAATCATCACATCCTGTTGGCAGGTTTTTTAACTTATTGTAAGAAATATAAGATTATTTTAAGACTTGATGACTTCTCTAGTTAAGATGATGTTTTTGCAGCGTATGTATAATGATTGCACACTGCCTGCAGCTTTACTTTAGTAAAACAGGGGCGTTAACACTGAAATGTTTAGTAGACAGCGTCACTTTTAGCAGCAGCCCCCCTGTATTTGTTGGTAATTCACCTTTTCCAAAGGTAACAGAGATTTGAGGTATAAATTATCCAGCAGTCCAACCCCTCCAGCTGCAGAAGCCGGACAGCCATTGGTCGGTGTGACCTGAAGACTTCACAGCTCCATACTCTGCCAGATTGGTTTTCTATCTGCGACCCTGTGACAGAGCGGTGGATTTACTGAGCTGGAGGCTGCGACCTGCAAACGCTGCCAATCCAGGAGGTTTCAAACCGTGACGTGAGCTCAATTATTGTTGGTACGATTCGGTTTCAGAGTTGCTGAGTGAGACGTTTGAAGCCTGTAGGCAGGACCCTAGGGGATGTTGTTACGATCCACTAAGAAAAGAAATTTCAGGTTATTTTTCCATTTCCTATTTTTGTTCATTTAAATGTTCAGTTTTATTTTGCGCAAATGTTATCCATCTATATTATGGCTTCATTTTAGGTCATTAACTTTTTCATATTTAAAAAATGTTTAGATATTGTGTCAAAAAAAGACAATTAGAATCAGCCTTTTGTGTGTTATTGTAGAATCAAATCAGGTTGTTAAAACGCCTAAATTCCCAGAAAAAACACCTAAGACATTATCGTGGTGTGCCCAATGGTAGCGACGATGCAGCCGGCAGGATCAGCTGCCCCTGTCGCTTTAGACAATCATGTGTCAGTGGAACATTTTTATATTTTTCATCTCAATTAAATCTCACTGAATGAAGCAGAAATATTTAAAATGCTAAAGTAACTGCACCGAGAAACCTAACCAGTTGGGGAAATGCAGCGTCATGCAACTGGTCATGCAAGATGTAAATTGAATTGAATTGAATTAATTCCGGTAGATTTTATTAGAAAATTTGAAACTCTTATTCTTGGAGTCTTTCAAAATAAAAGTTTAACAGAAAGGGGAAATCTAACAATGGCACCAACATTATCTCATATCTCAGAAAATAACTCCTGATGCTACTTTCTTCACTTCATGTGTGTCCATTTTGGTCTAATAATACAAGTGACCTACAGTACAGCAGAAAATCTGACAAGCCCGTAAATGCCACAGAAAGTGTTGGCAGGGCTGAGTGGGTAATGCATACTTTTGATTTTAGCAGTTCAGCAAACCAGAAACAGCATTATTAGTAGAAAATTGACTAAACAGCACCAGAGCAAAATATAATATCAGGTAAAATCACCCCTTCCATCCAAAGTTACAGCGTTCCTTTGACACCTAAACATCACTGACTCAAACGGTCTAAATGAGACGCTGGGCACATTTCATTATATGTCAAGAAGTTCGTACCTGCGGTGTCTGGCGTACTTCCCGCTGACGTGACCGCTGCCATCACAGCCCGGGGTGGGACAGCTGAGGAGGAAACACACACGGTCAAAACACAAACAGTACAGTAGTGTTGTGTGAATGAGGATTGATTGTGTTGCAGGAGTGGTGTGAGACATTTCTCTGAATGTTGTTTGTTTTTTCACTCTGGGTCTACATTGGAATCCATTGTAACTGCTGACTTCAGCTACTGACCTCCACAAACAAGCAAGAAACAAACTTCTACTACAAACTTTCGGTGGATTGTTTCTACAGGCTGACAGACAACAGCACTGCACGGAAGAACTCAGCTCCCTCATTCATTTAAATAAGGACACTGCAGCAGGGGTGCCAAAACAGAGGGTTTGGTAAAAAGGTTTACCTTTTTTTCATAACGCTTTACGACCTCATCCGCCAATGCACAGTGATGGTCAATCACATACATGCAAGCGAACATTCTTGGTCGATTACTTGCAACATGAATGCTGTCTTTCTACTTTTTCTCCTTGTGATCGTCAGGACAGAAGAGAAAAGTTTGCAGCCTTGATAATTTTCCAGAGGTGTAAAATCCTCTTAGTCCTATAAGCCGTTGTAGAGTGCTTTTGGATAAGCCTTCAGAATCATGGATCTATGACTCAAACTGGCCTTCCTGAATAGCATGTCATCATCTCATCGGTACCTGAATCACCACGACCTGCGCAGGCCCTTGCGGTTTTCAGTCTGAACATCTATTGACCCCAGATTTACTGTTAGCCTTGGATTAATAATGAAGTATGAACCAAGGTTAAACTAGCCTGGGATCTTTGTAGCCCAGGGTTTAGATCAGCACAGTGCTAAGAAATGTGAGAAGACTGGAGGTAGTTGACAACAATTTGAAATGCTTTCACCATAATTTTCATGTGGCCTTAATTTGGAGAACGCCAACACATTTCATTCAGCTGCTTTCACCGTCAGCAGCAGGCTGAAGTGTTTCTGTCTGGATGTTTTTTTGTTTTTGTATCGTCGTGGCTGCAGTCGGCAGAAGATTCCTCTAGAGCTCTGAGTCACTCTGCTGCAGCTTTCAGGCTGCTCTGCCCCGAAGACACGCAGACCGCCAGCCAACGCACGCCGCTTGGCTTCAGGGACTCCACACCCGCGACCTCTGAACCCACACTGCAGAGCTCCACCCACCCTCCACCCAACATCACCTGATCTATACACCCTGTAACTGCAGGCTAAAATGAGAGCATCACGAGCACAGGGAGGCAGAGGAGGAGGAGAATGAAGGGGAGGACACTGAAGGAGATGAAAAAGATGAAAAAGAGGAGGAAGGCACGGAGGGAGAAGGGGAAGAGGGTGAGGGAAAAGAGAGTAACAACAAGGGAGATAAAATGAGGATTAGGAAGAGGAAGAGGAGGAGGAGATGGGTAGGAGGGGGCAAAGAGAAGGAGAAACAGAAGCAGGAAATGAGATGGAAGAAAAGGACCAAAATATATCAGAAAGAGGGGCAAGAAAAGGAGGAAGAGGAGAGGAAAAAACATGATGAGAAGCAGAATGAGTGGAGGAAAAGAGGAGGTAGAGGAGGCGTTTTTTCCAAGGTGAGGCAGCTCATCAATCTGTGTGGGAGCAGAGACTGACGCTGTTGATTTATTGATCCCAGGACAGCTTTGTGTGTGTGAGTGTGTGTGTGTACAGTCTTTACTTTGCTGATACAATGTCAAACTATTATGATATAATTCCCACAATGCACCAGTGCAACCTTAACCTTAACAGGCTTTTGCATTGAGTCTTAAAATCCTTCTTCTTTTTTTTTAAGATTACAACATTTTTTTTTCCCTCTGTGGTGAGAAACTTTCACTTGTTTCCAAAGCAACTGAATATCTGTTGACCAAAGTATTTTGTTCTTGATCTCAGTGCAGAGATCTGTTTTACTTACTGAGGTTAACATCTTAACTCAATGCAGACCAGAGACAGAACTATAGGAGCAGTTTAAATGCTCTCACCTCTTATTTGCAGTCATATTATGCTTTTTGGCTTTTTTCCTTTCATTTATTGAGTTATATTCTTTTTTGTGCATGTAACAGGTTTGCAAAGTGAAAAAGCCCAAAGTCCACCCCAAAGGGAGTTCCCATCTCCCACAGAAAACTCTGCTCTGAACTGCCTGAAAACAACTCATTTGTAGTCCAGCCGTTTCCCTTTCATCCCTGTGACGACACAGCAAAATACGAGTCATAATGGTCGTCTAGTGCCCATTCTGACACGCCCTCAAAAACATGGTGGAAAAATAGTGAGCTGCAGCACACACCTCTCCTCTCTGTTCCAAACACTATAGCTACGCTCCAGGCAGTCAATGGACATACTGTTGTTACTGTGACGTAGAGACAGAGCTCAGTTACATTTGTTACAGATTAATAACTCACCACTCTGAAACTCTCGCTCCAGTCCATGTTGCTAAGCAGGTAAGGGGATATACAGCTGAACCGAAGCCGTGTTTACCGGTTTCTCAGGGCCCGCCCTACTCTGCTGCTGATTGGCTAGTAGTCCTTAACTAGGAACTGCGCATGTGCAACTCCAAACAAAGATCTTGTAGAGGTGAGATGTGTCACTCCATAGCTAAAACGAAGTGTTCAACACAGGGTGAAAAGAGGAGCTGCAGCAATGTGCAGTATGACAAAAATATGGTGTTTTCTGAAAATTAAACCATGTAAACCTGTTCTGGTACAACCACTGAATAAGATTTTGAACCTGAAAATGAGCATAATATGACCTCTTGAAGTAAGGAGGAGGAAACTAAACCTTCTTGAGCTATTGATGCTAAAACAGAAGGGCGGAGCCATGCTGGAAAACCGAGGGACTTTTTACAAGTGGAAAAATGACAGGACAGTAAAGATGTGGAGGGCAGGTCCCAAAAAACTAAATCTGATATATAGCCCACAAAATGCTAAATGTCCAGACACATAAGAAAGAAGGTGGTGCTGGAAGCTTTGAGGGCAGTTAATACTTGTGGGTGATACAGGTAATATAATAGGCCTTCCTTAAGTTATATGCCGTAAAACTTTGATTAATAGCCCGGGCTTTTATTTGCTAAAATCACTGAATTGTTCCTGCCTTTATTTGGGACAGGCGTCCATATGGGACAGGCCTTTAATTCCTGAAATAGGCCACTAAGAAACAGTTTATTTATTTCAAAATATATAAAATATCCAATAATATCAAATACACATGATTAATTTGATCTAGCTCCGACAGACAGCTTATGCGCTTTTATTTTGAAGGCAGCAATGTAACGAAAACAACAACAGCGTGCAGGATGAGAGAAGTGTGGCAGAAAGAGAGCGATGGACTTTACATGACAGGATTCAAGACTTGGATACATTTTTATGAAAAGCTGTTTTGATTCTTGATCTTGATCGGTGGACCCTTACAGACTAAAAGAATTTAATAATCAAGGAACAGACACATTCGGACTTAAGCAGCGTTTCAAAGGTAATGGGAGTCGGTCACACCGGTAAATCTATAACAATTAGACTTTGGGGCTTGTTGTTTCTGTTAAATGAACTGAATGATGAATTTTGGAGAATCTAACCGATCTAACGATGAGTATCATGTCCATACTGACACACTGACCATACGTTTATACATGAATATTTGTATTAACGATCTAACAAGCTTAGAAGCGGCTAAAGCGGGCAACCCCCCAGGGTTTATGAGGTTATATATATCCAAAGAACTTCTATAAAAAACAGACCAGGCGTTTAATTAAGGCAGGCGTTTATTTGTCAAAATGTGTTCCCACACCAGGCCAGTAAAGGAGGTAGGCGGCTGTTTGGGACTCTGCAATTAATTGAAGATTTACGGTATACAGAGAGGTGATTCTGTTATGAATTTAAATGGGGTGGACACTGATCAGTATGATGCAATATATTTCAACAGCACCTCATACAGTTGAATCAACACCTCTCTAAACCTCTTTCAACTGAACATTATAACCTTTGTTGGATTAGACTGAAACAGAGCACCTGGCTGCATCCTGCTTTGGTGTTGTTTAATCCTTTTTAATGAGTATCTTCTTGGCACCACCTTTTTGTTTTGCTTGTATTTTTTCTCTCATCTTCAACACGATGTGCTGCCCATCTCAATCCCCCTCCTCCTGAGACATCAGACTAAAGTGGGACTGTACCACTTTGGGAAGGAGCCACTCATTTACTCCACTACTGCTGACTTGGTTGTGATGTTATTGTGGTGCTAATCTCCTTCCACTCAAGCTGCAGCCAGACATATATCCAGCACTCTGGGATTTGTATCAAGATTTGTCTTTATCCATCCTCAGCAGAGCATGAATGAGCTCCATGACAATATTGCTATGGAAATGTTAGCAAACTGTTTGGTACTAGAGGAAAAGACAGCGGCTCACCAAAAATATTAGGATTCATCCTCAGAGGAGCATAAATATCAACAGCATTTCACTAAATTCTGGTCAGTCGTTGTGCTCTGGTGTTGCGACATCAGCATCTTTGCTCCCCTCAGCTAGCAGGACAAAAACCACTTATAGGCAACCTGAAGTTGAATGTAAAATTCAGAGCTGTGATGCAGCTTAATTGCAGCACTGATTCCCACAGAGGTGACAGATGTTATGTGTTTATTTAGCAATTAACATTAAGTCATGGAAGACTTTAAATATCACGGCCACACGTGTCTCTTCCCCAAATCTGCCACACCACAATGACAAATTAATTTGTATATTTTTATCCTTGCAGATTAGTCAGATTAGTCAGTGACTGTGCTGGAGAAAATAAAACTGATGAAAAATATTTAACCATTGCTCATGTATTTACTGTTTGAGTAATCTCTATCACAACCGCTAACTTCAAAGCTTCAACGTCCATGTCTGGCCCTGGGTGCACATCACCTCACCAGCCCCCATCAGATTTAAATTCTGGGTGATGCTCAAGCTGAGTTTTCTGCTCCTCAGCTCAGGGCTCACACAGCACAGACAGGACATGTTGTTTACAGTAAAGCGTTGACCTGGATCAAACAGGGTTCAACCATAATCTGCAGCACACACCAATATTTGTCAGTTTTACTAAATGAGATTAAGTGAAGCAGAAACTACCCCCTACACACACACACACACACACACACACACACACACACACAGGTAGCTGTGATATTCAGCATTTACTTTCAGCAGCTGCTGGTGTTTCCCCAGTCATGATGCAAAATGTAGTAACTCATCAAAATGTAATGAATTCTTGGTTGAATTAGATTGAAAATAATTGCTGATGTAATGAACAGCTGGGTAACATATTAACATGACACACTGCTAACCCTCTAATATCATGATTTTCTCAGAATTACAACATCCATTTATTGAATTCTGTGCATTCAAAATCTGCTCCCTATTTGGCTCAGAAATCTGGTGTAGCTTGCTGTCAATGTATCGCGTCGATCCACTTTTTAATCTCACTATCCATTTCACGCAGTTTACTCTGCAAGACGTGCAGCGTAAATCCCCATCCAAACTGGACACTCGTCACATGTACTGTTCATAAAAGTCACAGTGACACAAGCTGGCTCTCTCTGGTTTCCATGTTTTTGACAAGTTCTTCCTCTCATTCCAGGGGTGACTTGATCAAAAAGCACATGTATACTGGATAGATAAACTCCTCTTGCAAGAGCTGGTTCACTGTTATACAAGCAGGACAGGACACACAGTGCTTCTTCTGAATCTGAGGTTTGACAATCAGCTCACAGGTTCAGATCAGGCGTGTCGGCCCTCCCCGTCATTGTGGTGTGCCCACATATCGGAAATTAAGATATGTAACTCCTTAGTATGTCTTTCAATATTATTTTCTCTTAATGAAAATGAGGTGCTTCCATAATGCAATAATAACAGTGCAATACAGCAGAGGTTTACCTACCTGAATAACTCCTGTGTTACTGTTTCCACGGCAGCTTAAGAGACAGAACAAAAATATCAACGTTATAACTTCAACAATCTGCAGCCAACCAACAATAATTACCACATATATTGTATGTGTTAAAATTTTATTATGTTTAACAAGAGTAAAGTATCAACCAAATTTGTAGTTAGCAGAAGGGTGGGGACTTTAGATGGTAAATGATCTGTGCTTGTACTCAAAGTGCTTTTACACTACGTCATGCACATTCACCTCATTCAGGTTAAGGTGGCTGTGCCATCAGAAACAGAAATTAAAAAATTCACAGGGGAGCAATATGGGGACTTTCTAATTAGTGGACAACAGCTCTTCCCCCTGAACTACAGCCGCCCAAAGAGGAAGGACCACTCAAAGTTTGCACAAATCGATGATGATATTGTAATAAAAACTAAATTATTCACTTGAGTATTTGTTTTACACTGAGGAAATCAGTTTAAATATTTTATATGTGATTTAGTTCCCATATTGTGATATATCAATATCATAAATATTATTGTAAACACAGTCAACACAGAGGCTGCGTTAAAAAAGTGTACAGTTAGCACAAGTTACGCATGTTTACAGGGAACAGGAATCATCACACAAACAGTAGGTTATTCATTCAAAGCACGGGCACTTACCTAATAAAAAAGAGGCAAAAGAAACAGGCATTTCCACTAAAGACTGGTGACATTAAAAGACAGAGAGCAGACAGACAGACTCATACCTCTGACTCCTTTGGATCGTGTGCGATGGCGTTTTTTAACTGCATTCACCTCCATCTGAAGAGCAAAACACAAGTCAACACTCAGAAACTGTAACGGCAGAAAGAGATCATGTTGCAGTTTTAAACATTTACATAACTGCCAAAAAGAACTGCTTTAGGGGATTAAACTTAACTTCCAATCCTTTGTACGTGTAGGCATAACATTTATTTATGAAAGCATATATTAAGAAATAAGTTTGTTTTAGAGTAAGTATGATTTTGTGAAGTTTGAAATGAGTGGGAAATATCAAATTATGCTAAACTAGCTAATGTTATTTGGTCATATGTTATTTTTGTTTCCATCATTATTAAATAGTATTTCATCAGGTCAGGTGTATCAACCTTTTCTCTAAATATGCAAGCTAACGTTATCTTTGTCAGGTTCCTTTAGCTAAACAACAGTTGCACCTGCACTTACTGTGCGTAAATATTTAATAATAACTCAATGGGGCTTTCTTGGCATGGAGAACAGACATTTAGATTGCCAAAGCAAGTGTGAAATAAAAATAAATAACATAAATAAATCAACTTATCTCTACGTAAGAAGTAGTTTGTGAGGTGAATGAACAGCTGCTGCAATGGGCCTCAGATTGCTACACGCACTTAACACCAATCTTTTTTTTTTTTACTTGACCCTCTGTTGTTGGTGTTGCTTTTGTCTTATTTCTCTGCTAGTTTATTAAAGGTTTTTCAGCTTAATGTTCTGATGTCACGACAATGAATGGAAATTCTGCAAAACAAACAGTGTGATTTATTTATGCTGACAAAAACTCCAGCTGGTTGTGACCAAAGGGCAACCTCTGGTGCTGAAAAATGAAGCCAACACGGAGCTGCCAAAACTGCAGTTCCAGCCTTCAGTTCCAGCCTGGTCTCTGTAGCTAATTTCCTCGGTTTAAGAAACCACCGATTTAAATTACTTTTAGGCTTAAAGTTCTGCATAATTATGGACGCCTGCCAAAATGTCTCCTATGGGTGACGTCAAGGACACTGCGTCCATATTTTATACAGTCTATGGTTGTGACGGTGTCCCTACCTGGTCAGAGCTCGGTGTAGCACTGGTCATGTAGTTGAGGAGTCTTTATACCAAACTGAATTTCAGAAGCCGCCATCCAGAGTCATGATCTGCAAATAAACAAAACGCAGCAACTTCTCAGTTCGGCTGGACGTCAAGACCCTGAACCCTGGCCTGCCCACTTCCTGTTTCGACACTTGACTGACTCCTGCCAAATACAATCGACACATTTTTCAAATGTGACATGTCAGTTATGCGTTTATCTGGAAAAGTTTTACAGATTCACTGCTGAAAATATTTTTTAACCTACAGCCTAACATTTTATTCATTCAGTCTATTAGGTGCTTCTAAGGAGATGTTTTACAGAAAACATTTCAGTAACCTACAGCATAGACAGCAAATGACCCCATGACAAGGCCAAAAACACAGATAAAAGAAGTATTTTATAGCATTTATATTACCCTTGAAAGGAGGAGTTGCTTCAAAGACAAGCCTCGGAGAGGACTTAACCGTTGCATATATACTAAACTAAGTGGGACTTTGGGAAATTAAGTTAACATCTTAAATCATCCTGATACCTTAGCTTGCTATTGGACTACGTTTCCCAGATTCAATCTCTATAGCACGTGAGTTTCGTCTTCAGAGACTGTGTCTAGCGGCTGGTGACTGCTAGGACCGTAGCCAATGGTTTAAAAACATAACCAGACTGTGTTTACTGCCTCAAGTGAACTAACTTATCCCCAGCCGGATCCATATTTAGATGTAGATAGCCAGCTAGTGTAGCTAGCTTACCAGCCAGCTTACTAGTTAATGTTACGCTGATCTTAAGATGTAATGAGATTTGCACCCTTGAAGACATCGTCCTACTACACCAGATGTGAACTCAAGATTTGAAACTAGTACACAGTGCTGTACTTTTGATAGTGGTAGAGGGTGGATCACAATCATCAGTAATTTCATTTTTGATATAGTCTCACTGGGCAGCAATCAACTCAATCATACACTGGGAAAATTGTTCATCTGAACATGCCAGGCTGTGGACTGAATTTCATTTTAGGATTTTGTAATGCTGCAAACACTCCAACAAAAAATGTAAGTTTTAAAATGAACAATACTAATAGAGTGGTGAAGTGGAGGGGGTTGACTTTGACCATGTTCTCCACTACCTTTGATTGTCCCATAAGCACTCACTATTTTCCACCTAACACTTAGATGTTACCCTAACATTTATTTCTCTGTTTTTATTATTTTAATTTCTCTTTAAACTGTTTTTACACATTTTAATTTGCATTTTAATCTTTATTGCTGTATTCCCGTTGTAATGTTTTTAATACATTATGTAAAGCACTCTACGAGCACCTTGCCTATGAAACATCTAATCTCAGAGCTGCTAATGGTGGGAAAGAGCTAAAAATTAAACTTTGTAGAAACACGATAAATCATTCAAGATTCTGGGTCGATTCTGGATGAATTTGACATCTGTGTCGAGGTGTTTTGATCCCAACGATGCAGCTACAGCTTGAATTCGTTGTCAGGAGCGGCTGATTTTTCAAAGCAATAGTAGCTGAGGCTCTTGTTATTGTAGTATCAAAAGCCATGCCACATTGACAGAAACAAAGATGAAATTGGCCATAACATAAACTTCTAGTATTGTTAAATTATCCAGGAGACACCTGTGACTTCTATGCGTAGGAACATATAGGATATATATTTGTTTGTTTTTGAAATACAATAGTGCTGTCCTAGTTCTGAACTCTGCAGATGAACCCTAATAGGTATTACCGACAAAATTTCTAAGGCTGTGTCCGAAGTCACTCTCTTGCTTTCACTCACTTAAAACGGTTCGCAGTCATTTGAGATTTTTAACATTTCTCGTCATCAGTGCATCTCAACAACCATACAACAAATTAAAATTTTAAATAACACAAAAACTCAAACTTTGTGCTGACAAAATTTACAGCAAAACACGAGATAGCAGATAGCAACACAAAAGGGAGACAACACTGAAACAACAGTGCGATGACGAAGACGTGAACGCAGCAGCTCTGCGTGCTTCTCTCTCCTCAGCTGCAGTGCAGCTCGGGGGGGGGTTGCAGCGTTAATATAAATGTAAATTCTGGACAGACTCGCCTGAACTCTCAGCCTACTCCCATTATGGTGCCACAGCATAGCGCGGCCGGGTGCATCTGAGGATGCCACTCCACTGAGCATGCTCCAACGCACCCTACATGTCGTCCCTCCCTCTGCTGTGAAGAGCTGAAATAAAAATCATCCACCTCCCTGGAAACTATAAGACTGAGTGGGATGTGCACTTAATGGGTGTATGTGCTGCACTGTGTGCATGCATGTACGTGTGTGTGTGTGTGTTTGTAGATGTTCCTGTGTGCACGTGATGCACCAGCCTCACCAGTCTTCATGAATGTGTGTTTCCAAAGGCTGTGCCCTTGTTCTGCCTCTGCATGTTTGTGTGTATGTGTGTGTGTCTATTCTTGTACTATCTCTGTGAGGACCAATTTCAGTTGCAGACCTTGAGCGTGAGGACGATTTGATTTGTCAGGAAATTTATAGAAATTGAGGAAATTTTCAACTGTGAAGACATTTCTTGTAAAGTGAGGAATATTTTAGGAAAGTTCTGATGGCTGTGCTTCAATTTTGAGAGGCGCAGACAGGAACAGTGGATCACAATCATCAGTAATTTCATTTTTATTATTGTCTCTCGGGGCTGAAACCAACTACAGTCAGACTTTGGGAGATTAATTAACAGACTTGGAACAAACTTTCAGAACATATAAGACCTGCCCCGACTGTGAAAGGTTCAAAACTTCTCCACTGCCTTTTACTGAACCATAAACACTCATATTTTCCATGTTACCCTAATATTTATTTCTCTGTTTTTCATTATTTTTATATCTCTTAAAATAGTTTTTGAACATTTGAATTAGTATTTTAATCTTTAATGTTGAATAAATATCCAATCACAGAGCTGCTAATGGTGGGCAAAAGATAAAATTTACACTTCGCACATTATATATTCAGATTCTGCGTCGATTCTGGATGAATTCAACAATTGTGACCAGATGTATTGATCCCAACTGCAAGGATGCAAAGCAACGGCAGCTGAGGTTTTGGTAGAACTTTTTGCAAAGTGAGGACATTGTGAAGAAATCTGGGGGGAAATGAGTAAATGTTTGAAAAGTGAGGAACTTTTTTGGAAAATGGGTAAAAAAAAATTCCAGTCTTCATTTCATCAAAGGATTAAAACTTGTTTTCAGGGCGAGGTAATGTATGATGTCACTATAAAAGTACAACTGTGAATGTGTGGATATGCAGTACAGGTCTATGTATGAAAGTGTACAATAGTATGTGTGATATTAATGATACTGTAATAACACTATGCTCCTTGTTGTTTTTTGAAGGTTTGTCACTGTGTTTGCTGAATAAATATATTCATCTAATATTCAATTTATATATTCAAGACCACATTTATTTGGCAATGTTGGGGATCCCTGATTTGCTATTACAGCAGCCCAGATTATTATGGCATGGGTTCAGATGTTGCATATTTGCCAGCTAAACATTCACTCTGTGAACTCTGCTCCAGCATAAAATAACAAAAATAGGTTTCAAGATTAGTAATGCTGTTTAGGCCAAATCCCCACCTTACCTATGTTATGTAACTTACAAATAATAGGGTGGCAGGAGTGAAAATGAGTAATCCTTAAAATTTGTTGTGGTTTCACAACAATGAAGACGGTTGCAGAACAATTAGATACAAAATAGGATGTGAGCTCTACAGGATGAACAGAGACTATCATGCTTTTGAAATGAGACAGAGACTATCATGCTTTTCCCAGATGATGCACGGATCTTTAGGCATTTTACGATCTCAAATGGCTTTAAAGTTTGGACTAAGCCCTGATGTGTGTACATCTACCTCCGCCGGAAAAAACGTTGTTATTTACATAGTCTGTTCCTTGCTAGCTAGGGAGCAAGCTTGCTCCTTAGGTTGACACGAGTGACGGAAACAGACACACAAAAAGACAATAACCCCATGACAATAGGAGGGACCAATATCTGAGATGGTGATATTTCCCCATTAAAAGAGCTATTGATTTATGAGTCAGACAGGCTGAGGGGATATGAAACAAAGTTTAATTTTTTTAATAACCTAAAAGATTCAGGGCTTTTGAGAAAACATTCAGGGCTGAAGCCCCAGAAGCCAACCCCCCCCCCCCCCCCCCCCCCCCCCCCGCTCCGCCGTTGGCACTGTGTGAAGAGGAGCTTCCTGCTGTTTAGTATTCAGTCCAACACTCTGCCTGTCTGATACAACATGATGCAGAGCTCCCCTATGCTGAGACACATGGACACACACATCAATGTACACGCATGTACACACACACACACACACATACAAATACTTATATCATCATCACACACACAGACATGTAGAACAGCAGTAGAGCACAGAGGTTCACCCAGCAAAAATTCACTCTAAACCTGAGTGATTTTTGTCTCTGAACACAGTCTGGTACTGTTCCACTTCAACGGGTGACTGGAGGCTGCAGCACCGCCTGTGGATCAAAGCCATCACAACACCTCGCATTGATGACACCATTTTTTTTACTTATTGCTCTAACTGCTCACTTAACAATCACATAATGTGCTTGGGTGACTAGTTAGTGAAATACTGAGCGAGTCTGAGTTTCCTCCATCAAAGTCAATTATTTTCTAAATAAAAGTATTTTAATATAACGTCAGTACTGATTGAGAACAGTGCTTAACCAGAACTACTGTATGTCTATAGGTGCCTGAAAAATATTTTTAATAGACACCACCAATTAGAAGCAAGTATTTTCTTTTTTTATTCATGGTACAGACTAATCTGCTGGGTGATTTATGTGTTGCACAGTCTAGTGAAGCCGCCATTGCTGCTGTAGCACTGCTGAACTGAAAGCACTCGCCCCCACTAGTCGAGTAGGAATTGGTTGTGACGCACGCTTTGAGGAAAAGAATATTATCATAGCACAATTTGTCTGACCTTCATGGACCCTCTGATAACAAACCAACAAATGTCAATCAATGATTTCTTGTACTGTTATCATATTGAAAT